TGAGGGGGAGGGGGGGGGGGGTACTGTCCGTGCATGCAGCATCTATGAGCAGTTCCCTCACTAAGGTAATCTAATAACGTTGGTTGTGGTCTCGTTTCAACTGGTTTCGAGGACTATCTGCTGCCCCTCATCCTTGGCCTTGCAATACAGATTCTGCGAGCCTCGAAGCTATCTCAAACTCTTTCTGCGCAAGCGCAGTCTTTGGGCGCCGAAGCCAGATAAGCAGCGGCTTTTCTCCGTGCTACTGTCTTTTGGCAGCGGCGGCAGCGTCTTGTCAACACTGCTAACCGAACAACACGTATATTGCAGGGGAGTAAACTCTTTTAGTCTCTCCATTTTTACTGAATCCATGCTGTCGCTGCTGCCGGTGCCACTGAGATTGCAGTAAGAGTCCTGTGTTGCGTTTCCTCGCGCTGTGCGAACGATGTCCGACACCTGTTCATCCTGACAGGTACCGTTCCTTGAGGAGGACGGGCCGATAGAATGTAGCGAGTGTCCATGCAGGTATAATTTAGGCCAGTGTACCAGTATTCTCCAAAAGCTACAGTGTGCCTCAATCATAAACAGTCTATGCTTTTCCACGTCTATCCAAAACATCCATCAGGTGCATCTCCAGATTGCAAGATCGGTTGCCACCTTTCGCATCTGTGCTGTGCTTTCATTGCTTCAAAAGTTTTCATACTACTTGATTAAAAACTTTCTATGCTTTTCCCCAACTATCTCCAGCAATCCAAAGAACGGCGGCTGCGGTTACACCTCTGGTGCTTTCAACGCGCCATGCTATGACACCGACAACAGGCTTCAACAGAAATGAAAATGTGGTCATTCACTGAAACTGAATATACTGACATAAGAATAAGCGTAATGTTAACTCGGGGAGCGGTACAGGAAAGGAGGTGATGTGATTAATATCCGAAAATCGGGAGCTTGCAGGCGCGTGATATATTTTAAAGAGTTAGCTTTCTTCAGTCAACGCTCGGCATTTTCTAAAGTCACACACCGTTTGCCAGGTATCCAGGTGTGTCTCAAGCTGCCGTCAAGGAGTCGGAGTGTTCAAACAGAGGCTTCCGGGAGAATCCTGCACACCAACTTCCCATCCTGCAGTGCTGATCCATAAGACCCCGAGTCACCGGTCAAGCAGTCAAGGAAAGAAGCTGACCCTGACTACTAACCACCGGAGAGTAGCTTTGTTAGGTCTGTATTCATTTGTGGAAGAATTTATTGGATCACCCGTCGTGGCTAGGTCATTTGTTGAGATGATGTTCGTTTTTGTGTCACAGGCCTGAGACAGAGAAGCCTTCTTTGGTGCTGGGACGGAAGTACGTCCTGTTCGAGTCATGCCTCGATGTCCTGCTCGATAAGTGCAAAGAGTGTGCTGCCCCCATGAAGCACGTGGAGAAGGGTGTTTTAGGCTGCAGCGTACAAGTTGCCACCATTTCTCTGAATGGACACGTGGGGGATTGGTGCAGCCAGCCTCTCATCAAACGAAAGCCTGTTGGGAACATTCTAATGGCTGCCCCAGTTTTGTTTACCGGCAGCTGCATTAAGAAGGCCCTCAAGACGCTGACCAGTATGGAAATTGTGTGCTTCAGCTACAAGACCTTCTTCAACATCCAGAGGGCCTTCCTCCTGTCTGCAATTGAAAAGGTAATTCGAAGTTAAAACCCGACATGCCAGTGATGTGATTGCTGCGCCAATTGCGCCAAGGGGCTAACCCTGCTACATCCTGCTACATTTTGCCAAAATATGGGTAATCTGTGCCAGCCTGAGTCAAAGGACCAATTTCGGTCGCCTTTCAAAACCGAAACTAAACTGAGTACCGTAATTGAGCATATGTGTGTTATGTGGCGCAAGTAGCCGCCCGACACTAAGTAACCTGCATTAATCGTCCATACGGTCTTGCTTGGTTTCCTCGCCGTCTCGCGTTTCGCGCTCTCGTGGTCTCGTAAATCTCGTTTCGCGTCTTTTTATTCTTTTATTTATATATATATACTCTACGATAGACGGCGGGTGTGTGCGGACGCTCCGACGCTGGCGTGCAAGGTACCAGCTTTGCCGTCATGCTGTTTAACAAAACCACGTTTTTGCGCGGCGGAAGTTACTTTGTGAGCTGGAGCACTTACTCCTGAAAGCAACGGCCGTGGGAAAACTATATTTGGTATCTGCGTTCCAGTCACCGTGGTCGCGCGACATCGGGTGTTGCCGTCCCCACGAGGCTGCAGATATGGCACTTCCTAAAATGAAACTAATTACCGCCACATGTTCATCAACATTCCTGTTCTTGTTTAAATCATACGTTCCTACAAAAAAAAAAAATCTCTAACTCAAAGACTGCTGTGTCAAAGTATTGATTACCTAGGTTTCTCCCGGTGGGCTTTCTTTCGATACGGACCCCGGTACGTGAAAAATCTGCCGCGAAAGAAAGTTGATGAAGAGAAGTTAGCTAAATCAAAGAAGGCAATGTCTGTACGCTGAACCCTCGCAGCGCACTTGTTTGTCTCGAGTTCAGTCGTTGCACAAAGCGCTCCAAGAACTTTTTGACCCTGGCTCGCGATGTGTTGCATCGATAGCTCAGGTACTTTTTCCCCCTTTTTTGTATGTTTAGCTTGTACCTTGTTTGCCGGCCTGGCAAGCACACGCCGCTGGACTGTTTATAGTCGTATGCTCGACAGTTACATTGTGCATACAAATTCGGGGATCAGTTGGCGACGGAGCGGAGTGACATGGTTTTGGTTTCGATCGAACAGCCGTTGTCTCAGCTCGCGCGACAAAGCACGCGCAACTGCAAGCCTGCCGAAGTTGGCCTCACGTGCATGCGAACATGATTGCACGACAAAGGCACCAGACAGGACCTTTGCAATCCATTGTTTTACGTTTGCTTACTTTTGACGAAAATCTGGCACGTCAGGAACCAGTCAGACGGTGGCAAGCGGTTTTTCGAAATTGCTCGGCAATGCCTCCAGCACTGTACACTTGTGGGATGTCTCAGCAGTGAAAAGCAAAGCGGCGAGTTCCGTCACAACACGCCACATCAGAACACAACACAAAGTGCCCTTCGTATGCACAGCACATAAAACAAATATTCTTATTTTTCTAAGAATATCTGCTCCGAAAAGCCATTTTGCGGCTTCGAAACACTGTCTTGGCTGCTCCAAAAGCCCCTTTTGCTGCTCCAAACAATGTATAGGTTGCTGCAAAGGCCAGATTTGCTGCTCCAAAACATTGTTCTGGCTGCTCCGAAAGGTTCTCCAAAATGGCTTGGGCCAATCACATCAGTGACATGCATAAAACCTATTCATTCATTCAGGCAAAGGAGTACCTGGAGCAGACTTACCAATCAGCAGAGTTAGCAGCTGCCTGGGGCATCAAAATTTAGGGGGCGGACAGTTTCAGCAGATAGCTAGGTTCACGGCCACCCTTTGCAACTAGACCGCATACAAATCGCGAAGAAAACAGGACTGCGCCTTTGTCCTGTAGGACTAACCGCTACGACAAAAATACAGAAAAGAAATGCGCACTAGCGGTTGACTATAAAAAAAAATCTCGCTATATATATGGCGAATTTTTTTTTTTTTAGGCTGGATGTTTATCGAGCCTGTTCCGATAGCAGCTGGCATCATGATTTCTTCATTGGTTCAGACCACTCTCTATAGTCTAAGCTTACGTGAACAAAGGCCGAGTGCATAGAAAGGAACAACGCTTTCAGTGTGCTCATGACTTTTGCCTAGAACATCAACATGCTAAGTCCGCCTCTGAGGATTACATACTAGGGAGACCCAAACCGTTTTGGTCACCACCTCTGTTTCACGCCCATTGGCATTATGGGAACCCTGTCTTTTGCAAACAGGTATGGAACAAGCACCACGACGAGCTGTTCACAACGGCAGCGGGGGGGGGGGCAACGGACCATCGCTGGTGATGGGAGAGCGGATTCTCCTAAACACTGTGCAAATATGGCACCTACACCATGCTCGACGCCGACCAGAACAAGGTTCTTCATGTGTAAACCGTCCAGGTATGAGAAAACAGATAATATAGATGCTCTGCTTCCTTCACTGTCGTAAGCACATCATATTTTACAGATGCAACAGAATAAATATCTGCAGAGCACTTGTCATTTTGTTTTTGTAATGTGTCATTATTATTACAAAACACAAAAGTGTAGACTACAAAATTAAGAAACAAAAGATAGGCCTATTTCTGCTTCTGCAGTGACTTTTACGCAGTCATTGAAGTACATACACCTCAATGTGCATGCTGGCAAATCCTGAGGAAGCACCCACTAAAACTTTGGAGATAATCAAGAAAAAATGGAGGATGGGCGCTTGTTAGGTCCACATACAAAACTGCAGGAGCAGCTTATGGTGGGGTGGGCGCTTGCATGGTCCCTGCACAGAAATCAAAAGGGCAGGTGTTTGGGGTACTCGGCAAATGGCCGTTTTTGCCGAACCAGCCAACGCATAGAAGCAGCAAACTCCCGCAGAATACCACACACAGACACATTGAGAAAATTTGTAAAAGTGTATGCCATTGATGCACGTTCAGTCTTTGTCGCTAAACTGAGCGAACGCAAATACCATAGCTCACTAAGCAAGGAACTAACCTGAATTATGTTGGAAGCATTTGTTTTTGTCCCAAAAAAGTATGGGCTCAGAATTACATGCGCGTCTGCGACCCATTTGAGCCATATTTCATGTTCCCGCTAGAGCCCCTCACCCGTTCCGTCGCAACCATTCTAGCACCGGTCACAGAGAGAATGGCCACCCATAACGAAACGCCTGATGCGTCTTTTGCATATTTTTACACCTTCTTAATAAAGAGAAGTGGCTATTTGATATATTCTTTGCTTATTTTTTAAATATTCAAAGAGTACGGGGTGGGCACTTGTTGTGCGCTGGGCACATGCTCTGTATTTTGTGGTATATTTATTTCATGTTTTACTTAGTTTGTGCTGCCGAATATTCTCTTCATTTCATTTCAGTGCAATGAAACCGGTGGGAGCTACCATATGGAGTTAGAAGGCCTCACGAGGTCGCTCGATATATTCGAGGCTCACTCCCTGGTTGTAGGCGTCCTGGTGACAGACAGGCACCTCCAGCTGAATGCTTGGTTGGTACGGGTGCATCCTGACATCTGCCACCTTTTCGACTGCTGGCATGTGGGAAAGGGCAAGATTTATAATGGTGTTATCATTTCCAATTAGTTTAACTATCATCAGCTTGGTTGGCGATAATTGGCCTACTGAAATGGAATAATACCGGTGTCAAACGGCGTTCTAATGATCCTTTTCACTAAGCTCCTTTAAAAAATCGGCCAATCAGCTCGCGATGTGGAGTGCGCACGTGCTCTCTGGCGCGCGCACGTGCTCTACGGCGTGCGCTGGTTCGCCGTTTTTATAAAGGAGCTTAGTGAAAAGGATCTTTAAAACGCCGTCTGGCAGGGGTATAACATTGTAACCCAAACTGCTATCTGCAAGTCAGTACTCTCACTGCATGTCTGTAGGAATCAAAATATTAATGGTGTTTTGCCAACTTTCATGAAAGGGAGGTCTGCCAATTATAACAGCACTCTATTGCTGCTGCGTTTGTAGAAGGGTTTGAGGTATGCATGGCAGGTTCCAGCGGACGCTGGCATTTGAAAAAAAGCCTAATGTTTCTCCAATGGTTACCCTGACTGCCTCATTTTTACTTTGGGTGCCACATTGTATTTCAGCCGCCAAGAACAAGATGGTAGCAGCAGGTAAGTCGCGTCACACAGAGGAGCTGAGCTCCTTTATCAAGGCAGTTATCAACCACCTGTACTGGTGCGCCGGGACAAGTGCCGGGAACCAAGACCTGATCCTGGCAAAGTGGGAATCTCTGGGGGCACATGTGGCAGACATACATTCCCACCCTGACCCTCTCTTCCCAGAGTGTGAGCACGGAGAACTGCACAAGAAGTGGCTACAGGAAGGTAAGGACAGAGTTGTACTTTTTTTGGAGTTTGAAATATATTGACCACATTTTACCGTGCCCACATCATTGTTGCAGGCTCTCCTGCTCACTAGAAGCTGCGGGAAATTGTGCTGTCCAAACACCTTCTCCGAGACATCCCTCGACTTTCCACGTCAGCGCAGACATTTGCAATCGAGTGCTTCCATAGCATTCTGTTGCAGTTTGCGCCAAAATAGGTGCACTTCAGCTTTCGCAGCATGAAGGCAAGGTGTGTAAAAAAGGTGTAATTTTTCATTCAGATGTTTCTGAATAATGCATTTACTGTTCGGAGCCCACCTGGCTGCTTTGCACCACAATGCAAATGCGGCCAGGCCCCAAGCAGTCACCAAGGACGGGGACCTGCGGTGGGCGGTCAAGTATCCGAAAGCTAGGAAGGGGCCTGTGGTTTCTGCGCGCAAGAGTGACGGCACCTATGGTGTTGCCAATGCTCATTTTTGCACAAGAATGGTGCTAATTCTTAAATTGCTTTGACCGTCTCATTACAGAGTATGGGGAGGAGCTAATGGCAGTTTTGCTGGACCTCTGCACGACCATGCCGTCCTACGGGTCCGCTGCTGCAGCCTACAGCCAGGATGCTCCTCCATTTCTCTCAAGTGCCTATGAGCATGCAGCCTGCAGCCAGGATGCTCCTCTATTTCTCTCAAGTCCCTATGAGCATGAGGACAAGCAGATGCTGGTGGAGCCCCACTGCTCTAGGTTTAACCTGTAGCTGGCTCTGACGGAGCTGTGGCGGGTACACCACATTGATTTTGTACAATCCACCATCTGTAAGGCAAATTTGGGGGTTTAACGAGTCAAACCAACGAGGCAATCTTGCACGCCCCAGCGGAGGAATGGGGATTAATTTCGACTACCTGGGGGATCTTTTGATGTGCAACCTAAAGCTCGGTTACAGGGTGCCTTCTCTGCAGTGAGCCTCCGTCATACTGCAGGCACCTCAGCCAGGATTCAGATCCGCCACCTGGGGATCCGTAGGCCGGCACTTTGCCTCAGAACCACTAAGGCGGCCATCCCTCATCTGTAGGAGAGGCCATCTTTCCATTATCTTCTTCCTTGATTGGTACTCTCCAGTACCCCGTTGCCAGGTTGCGAGTGGTGAAGTATCGGGACCCCTCGGGTCGGTCGACAATGCCGTCGCTTCAAGTTGGGGGTGGACACCTTTGCGGGTTATGGCGTTTCTTCGTTGGAGATCAACGCAAAGCCTCCATGAACAATTGCGTATGCGTACGAAAATAACTGAAGACCAAGAATTCAAGGATTACCTAATTACTCTGTGGCACCCTGGCGACTTGCTCGCTGATGGTGATGCTCTCAAAGGTTGATTGCTCCCTTGTGCACTGCAGCCGAACTGCGGTGCAGTTTCTGATGCACTGGTCTGGATCCCCTAGCGTCAATCCCGTGCCCCACCAGCCTGGTCCGTCTGAGGGGACTTCCCGTATATGTGAAAAGAGATGGCCGTATTTCCCAAGGAGTTCCACTTGTTGGCTCTCCCCTGTCAGAAGCTCACTACTAATCTTCACTCCTCCTTTGAGATGTTGTTTGGAGTTTAGCCGCCGTTGTACATAATATGGGTTGGGTTGGTTGCATGAACAACCTCCATGCCGTTGTAACACAGGTCAGAGTAGCAGTGTTGCAGAAAGTTTTTGAAGTCTTTGCCAGGGGTTCTGGGTACAGGCATCTGGCTGCCATCCTGACGGACAGGATTTCTGTGCAAGGAGGCTGGATTCCTTGGTGCAGTAAGCGTAGGTGACGGATGGAAGGTGAGAGGGAGAGCAGCGTTTTCAGACTGACTGCCCTCAAGATAAAGTTGTACATGATGCCCCTGAAGAACCACATGGCAGCTAGGAAGGTAGATATCCATATTTCTTTATGGACAGAATGACAGACCACTTAAAAGATAAACCTCTCGAGCAAAACACAGTTTGTATGGATGTTAATTTTGCCCACTGTCGCGTCTGGCTTGATTTCAGCACTTGCGTTCACTACGTCACCGTTGGCACTATGCATCACCATTGTAGTTGATTGGGTCCTTGTTCGAAGCCATCCTGCAATGCCCAGGGACACAGCGTAATATACTGGCGATGATACAGGGCATAGTCAGCAGCCGCGATTTGTGGAATGTCGCACAAATGGTGTATCCTGCTTTGAGGCTTACTCGATTCCTAATACCCGTGTCCCACTAGAGCGACATACAGGAACAAAAGACAAAAACAAGCCTCAAACCAGAGTTCTCGCGATTTGAGACGCTTTGTAGAGTAACGGAGGCTATGCTCAAACACGAGCATCATGCACGGGAGAGTATCTTTGGCAGGCTTGCAATCGCTCGTGCTTACTTCGCGAGCACCGAACGACTAAGCGCCCGCCAAAGGTACCATCACGAGCATGCTGCCTGGGTTTGAGGCTTGTCGCTGTCTTTTGTCTCTGTCTGTCGCTCTAGTGGGACGCGGGCATAACGGTGAATACGACCAAGGTCTGGCAGGGGCCGCTGTAACGGTTCAATGAATTGTTTTCTATCACCAATGTATTTTTGTTTTCCAGCCATTTCATCATGTTATTGATATTGTGTGATGTTATGGATGGTAACAGATGAGATTGTCATCACAGGAAATTGAGAAATAATTTTTTTTCGGTGAAGCTGTGAAATTAAAGGTGTTGTTTTTAATAATGTGAGGACCGAGTTCAGAACTGATAGAATAGAACGTGTTGACATACAAAAAGTGAGACTCAGTAAGCACAAATGCATACTGCTGGCTTTTTTTTTTTTTTTTTTCTGGGTTAACAGAATGGCAGCTATCAAGGATAGGAGTGACCGAGATTTGATTTTGGACACGACTATTCACGTTATAAAATGCACGGCACGGCTGCTGTGTTGGTGCTAGCTGTCGCATGAAGTAATAAGCTGTGTTTGTGTAAACTGTCGCGTGAAGTAAAACCTTTGTCCTAAAACGACTAAGAAAACGTGAAGAAACATACATACGCTTCTGCAGTCCTGTTTCCTGCGTCCCGGGGGCGTATTCGGAGACACCCCACGGCAAAGCCCCGCGAGAGAGAAAAGAAGGAGAGAGAGGAGGAAAGGGAGGAGAGAAAAATACCGCGATTGGCTGGCGCAGTCACGTGGTACGCCTGCGCTACGGGCTGTTCTAAGCTGCGTGCAGCCCTCCTCCCCCCGCTACCACCGTTGAGCAGACGCCCTGCTGTTTTGTTTTGGAGTACTCCACGCCCCAGTCGAAAAAGTGCATTGGTGCAGTGCTAGATATTGGAGGATAACGTTGGTATGAAACTGGATAACATACGCGCACAGGTCTCAATGCTGATTGGGTAGTTACGCTACGGCCGCTTTATGCTATCTGCCGTAACGTTCACGTACGCCAGGACGGAAGGGTGTGTTTAGGCTTAAGGACCCGTGACCGCTGCCAGCGTTCCGAAGTTATTTACGGCCTGGGAATAAACCCTGCTCGTTCGCCTTTCGCTAAAACGTTCAGTGTACCTAATGTATTTCATTCGCTCGACGCGCCGCTGCGGTGTTGTGTAGTCTGCCCCACAGCGATGCCCAACTCGCCGCTTGGCACGGGTGTGCCTCAACAGGAATCGCGCCAGGTACGTATGTGAGACGCCAACGGAGCACAGGCGGTGATCTGGACCGCGAGTGCACGTCTGAATTGTGCTTTGCATATACACTGTCACGCCTCTGCAAGAATCAATCGCGCTCCCCGCAGCTAGTCGAAATGGAGAAGTGCATTGTCAGGCCTGTAAGCCTGCGGCGAAATTGATCTATACCCGATGTCAGCTTTTTTGTGCTCCACTGAAAAAGGTACTAAAGCATGAACGCAGCTGCTTCGACCAGTGCTTTTTTTGCGCGATCACTCGAGGGGCTGAAGCATGTCCGCGGGCAGCCTGCACGCACTCGTACACCCACAGTGGGGTGACGCGAAGTGACGTAGTGATTATGTTACAAATTTAGCGAAGGAAGCGGGCAGTGAGAAATATTCCACAAGCCGACTGGCCATTTACTGTCATCGTCCTCACCAGCAGCGACGACTGGGCACGTGTGTGAATGAATTGGTTGATGTCAAGGGTTGTCCTCGCTCTGCTTACCAATTAGCCCCTGCAATGGGATATGCCCACTGTGGTGTGTACGCATGCTGCAGACAGCAGGTGTCAGATTTGTCCTAGCTATGCTCACCTCAGAATATCTGCAAAGGACTGTGTTCCCACATGTCCGCAAGCCTCCGATAGTTTTGCCCGAGTGACTTGGAGCCTGTGCTAGACACAGGGGGGCTATGTTGCACGTTCTGGACTCCCAGGAGACTAGGGAGAAGGAAGTGACGTAGGTGTGAATGAACGTGTCTTAGCAACTTCTGCAGATACCGCCATCAGCGACTACACCAATCAACATCCAAAGAGCGTTGTTGACGTCACTTCCTTCTCCCTCGTCTCTTGGGAATCCAAAACGTGCAACATAGCGCACCAGTGCGAGGGCTGGCTTTGCCTGCCTGACCTCCATCTTTCTTTGCGACTACAAAAAGCTCGCCAAACTGGCACCTGGCACTGGTGAACATGTAGTCTAGACATAAAGGGAAACCGAATTCAGCTGGCGTGCACTTGGCTTCAGCAACAGGGTTCCAAAATGCAGCCGCAAAAAGATGCACTGCATGTTGGGCACATTGCCATTGACCGTTTCTGTTTCCAGCAGCTACAAAAATAAGCACTCTCATCTCAGTTTGTTCTCTTTTCCAAACTTGGTGATCTTACCCACTTGCGAGGTTCCATCAACCCAAATTTCCACCACACAATACTGACACTTCTGGCTGCATGACCTCCACTGGGCCATGTGCAGTCAAATTATGGAATGCCTAATTTTTCTGAAACCAGTAGGGAAAATATACGAGGCAAGACATTCTCAGATGATCAGCATGGTCGACTATATATGCAGCAGACCCGGCAACAAAACTCCTTGCACACAACTTTACAAATCCATCCATTTATTTCAGGCACATTGTACTTGCAAGCAGGCACGCACAAAAGCAAGTTTACATCAGGAGCACTGGCAGTGCAACACAAGGCGTGCAAATACACCCAACAAAAAATATGAAGCATAACGAAAAACTGTTGGCTAGTGCTGTAGAAAGTTGTTAAAGATTGGTACACGAACTGTCTGCAAGGGAAGCTTGAGAAGTAGTGAGCCCATCTTTGATGGGACTGTCACATGCAAATGGCCCTTTATTATTTCTCTGCAAAGTCTCCTTTGAGTGTTATGCGCTTCTAGTGGAGCCCACCCACAGAGAAAAATGTAATTTCTCTTGGTCCTCACACCACTCACGTGAGGCGTCTATGACGGC